CATGATGAAACTGTTGAGTTTCCAAATTTCAAATCTATGAATTTTTCTGAAAGATCTAACCAAGTTTTTGCAGTGAAGGGGTTGAATTTTACTGATGATGGTAAGTTGGAGTTTGATAAAATCCAAAAAGAAAATCTGTTGAATGGCGTTGCTCATAAATCATTTTCTTGCCAATTAAAACCTGCAGGGCTAAATGAAAATTCCACAAAAGAAAAATCTAATAAAGGAGGACTCTCTTTGTCTTCTTTTCTTTCCTTTCATAACATTGGGGACAATGTTGAAAATAAGTGTGGGGAAGGGATTCTACCCACAAATCATAAAAAACTAAAAAATTTCAAAATTTTTAATTTTCTTATGTTCATTTTCTTAAATCTTTTTATTTTAAAATTCTAGCATTAGCTTGAGCTTTATCCTGAGTCTTTTAAATATTCGATGATGAATAATGCAGGTTTTTGTCATTTCTTAGTGTGTATATTGCTTTTGATTATTGTTAATTTCTTTAATTTTATATCTTTGTCAAAAAAAAAAAAACACACAAAAATAAAACCAAAAAAAAAAAATATATATAAATAAATAGAATTTGAAAATCACAAATACCCTTATATGTTTTATGCATTTTCTTTAATAGTTTATAAGTCGGTTTCACCTTATTGGGTAAAAAAATACATTTGACATTTTTAAGCTGACATTTATTGGGTAAATTCATACTGTGTTAAAGTGACATCCTCTTGAATTTATAAAATAAAATACTACAAAATAACCAAAAAAAAAAAAAAAAAAACTGTAAGCAACCTCTTTCATCTATGATGATGGGAGGTGAAAGAAAAAGAATTTCATATATACACCAAAGGTGACATTCATTATTCCAGATCAAAGTAGTCCTTTTCATTTTTTTTTTTTTTTTTTTTTGAGAACAACAAAGAAAATCAACTTTGAGTCCATTTCTTTTTTTTTTTTTTTTTTTTTTTGCAACTACATGGTTTTTTTTTTTTTTTTTCATGCCAAACAAGGTTCTATACAGATAAGGGCCATATGGCCTTACAGATTAAAGCAAAATGGCCATTTGGCCTTACAACAAAATAAAGCTACAGAGGCTACAAGCCAAGACTAAACACAAACCATTAATCAAGGCCACAACCCTGATCTACTTCCGGATTGCTTACCAAGTATGGCTTCCCCCACCTCCATTCATAGCACCCTCCATTCTTGTCTTTCATGTCTGTGCATCATTGGTTCATCCCTTCCTATCATCTTGCCATTGGTCTAGTGTTTCTTGCCTCATTCCAGCAAACCCATCATGCTTATAAGAAGGTCATGAGCAATGCCCCTAGATGAGTCACCCTATGCGAACCCTACGCCCCCACCCCTAAAGCGCGAGGTCAACCCCCCCGCACGGCAAACCGTGTTTTAGCCGGAGGGGTCACTTATGGCCCCACTAAAGGCAATGGGACCCACCCTTAGTCCACAAGATGATACCCCTTATTGATACCAAAGTACTTGCATAAGGGGATCATTTGACCTTGTGAGCTAAGCAATGGTAGCCTAGAGCCTCTACCCTTAGGGTGCGAGCCAGCTCAACCCCGTACAGATCTCTGCATTTTTACCGGGGCAAGCTTATGTAGTTCAACACCCTAAGCAATAGAGAAGCTCCACCACCAAACCATCAATCCATCACCCTAAGCAAGCACTCATTTTCCTTTTCATTCTCATTTTCATTTTCATTCCAGCAATTCTATGCCTTCTTTTTCCTTTTTCTTGTTTTAAATCCAACCAAACTGCCATACCCAGCATCCACACAGAGATCACATCCATGGGCATTGCAGTCCTCTTATTTTACAATCATAGAACAACCAACAGACTTCAAACCCCCAAAAGACATAGCCAGGAACCCCCATCCTTGGCTCACAAGATGGAACCCCTTGTTGGTACAGCTGCACTTTCACAAGGGGACCATTTAGTCCCATGAACCAAGCAATGGAGCCCAAGGATGAACCAATGATGTCTAGACCTGCAAGCCAAGTAAAACCAACAAACATTCCACAAACCAAAGGGGAAGCCACACTTACCAAGCAAGCCTTGGCAGATCAGGGCTTTAACTTCAGCATCAGGTCAGTCTGTAGCCTTCCTCAAGCTTCTGCAACTCCAGCTCTAGTTCATATCCTGTAGAAACCCTCAGGTGATTTTCTGCAGAATGCTGGAAGTCCTCAGCTGCTCCATATCAAGCACCATCATCAGGCAGCCAATCTGCAGCATCGGCATCAGAACTTGGAGCCTCCTTCCAAGCAGCCCCTTTTCTGCAGCCCATCAGAGACCATCAAAGTGCAGTAGTTCCACCAGGGTCCCATTGTCTCCTTGCTCGAGGCAACACGCTAATCACATCAATCCCAGGAAGCATTATGAAATGAGGAATGCCCTCAAGGGCAAGGGTCAGCTATAGTGCCTTTGGTAGGGCTTCAGCTTTTAGAAAAACTAAGTTTTGCCCTCTGCACTTTTCCAATATCCAATGTGCAACACAGTTAACCTTAGGATTACACATCAGCCATGCCACTGTGAGCTCACTTGGTTGCCTTTCTCTCTCCTCCATCAAGTTGAAATCAGACTCCACTTGGATTTTTGCTATCCTCTTCCTTGTGCACCAACTCCAACAGTCCTCTAGAACCTGCCTCAATGTGTTACCAGGTCCTGTGTAGTTTCCAGCAAGAACAAACTCACCCTGAAAATTCCTTAAGTAAAAACTGCAACCTTCCCCTTCAACAGCTATGTTAGCTTTCACCCATCCACTAGGAGGCTTATTCCAACTCAGGCTTCTCACCACTCTTGTGCACCCAAAACCCCTTGCTCTTTTCAAAATGTAGTTCCAATTTGGGGGAAAAGGGTCCCATGCCGGCCACCTCCTCATAACACAATCAGCAATGCCTTTGGCAATTTTGGAGATGACTCTAGCTTCTGAAACTTTCCCATCCCCATATTTGCAGTGATTCATATGCACCCACAGTTCCCAAAGAATTAGTATTGGCAACCTATCTGACATGTACTTTACCAGTCTATTTTTATGCTTTTTGGCCCACCAGTCAAAGCACACCTGCCTTATCCCTCCAAGCTGTATTCTTATTCCTAGAGAATTAGCAAAATAGTTCCACACCCTGCTTGCAGTTTCCCCTTTGCAAAAAACATGCTGCAAACTTGCAAATCCAGGTTGTATACAGCAAGAGCATCTTGATGCTATTTGAAAGCCAAAATTAATCAGCTTATCATCAGTTGGAACCTTTCCCTTGAACACCCTCCATGCCATGAATGATGCTTTCCAAGGAACATGCTTAGCCCAAACTTTCTTGAACCAAAACTGGTTCCTGAGGTTCTCAGTTGCCTGGGATCTGATCCACCTCTTTGCAGAGGCTAAAGTGAAGGTCCCATCTCTGTCTGGCTTCCACCTTGCTTTGTCCTCTTTATTCTCCCTCAAGCTTACTCCCCTTAAATCCCTCTGAAGATTTTCATTCATATTTCCCATCCTCCATCCCGCCTCTTCCCAGAAGTCACACAGCCTTTCTCGAGCTTGTGCCTTCCCCCTTATGTTGTAGAGCAAGGCCACAACCCCCTTCCCTGTCCAGTTGTCCCACCAAAAGTTCACCTCCCCCCTACCAATATCCCAGACAATCTCTTTTTCTACCCTCTCCCTTGCTTCTAGCATCCTCTTCCATATGTGGGAATCCCCATTCTGCCAAGACTTACTCACAGGGTGGACTTTCTGACAGTATTTTGATTTCAGAAAGTCACCCCAGAGTGACTTCTCAGTTCTAAACCTCCACCACAGCTTGATGCCAGAAGCCTCCACAATTTCACCCAATCTTGTGAACCCCACACCACCCTCCTCTATTGGCTTGGCCAGGTTTTGCCAAGAGCTCCAGTGATACTTAGCCTTTCCATCAATCCTTCCCAGAAGAAATCAGCTAACATTCTCTCCAGCTTTGTCACCACTGCCTTTGGAGGGTTCACTACATAAAAAACATGAGAAGGCACAGCCTGCAAAACAGCTTTTATTAGTACAGACTTGCCCCCTTGGGACAAGTGCCTATTCAACCAACCTTTACACTTGATAGAGAATTTTGTTATAAGGTTGGTGAACAGATCAATCCTTTTCCTTCCCACATAGATAGGACAACCTAAATATGTGAAAGGAAATTCTTTATTGTTAAAGCCAGTCAGCCTTTTCACTCTCCTCACAGCTTCCTCTCTTATTTTTGGGTGCATATAGAAAGCACTCTTTTCTCTACTCACCAATTGGCCTGATTGGCTCTCATAGTCCCTAATTGCTTCCATGGTCATTTCAAGTGTTTTGCCTTTCCCAGAAGTGAATATGACCATGTCATCAGCAAATGCTAAGTGATGGATTTGGGGGCCCTCTCTTGGCTGAGAGAATGAGGCCCCATTTTTCGCTATCAGTTTGGCCAAAAGTTCAGCTGCAATGATAAAGAGGCTGGGTGATAAAGGATCACCCTGCCTCAAACCTCTAGTGGCATGAAAGAAACCTCTTTGATTGCCATTCACAACCACAGAATACCATATATTATTCACTGTTCTATCAACTAAGCCAATCCAAGTGTCACAGAATCCCAACCTCTTAAGCACATTTTTCACACAGGACCATGACATTCTATCATATGCTTTCATCATATCAAGCTTTAAAGCCACATCTTGATTAGAGACTGAGATTCCATGACACATCTCCTGTGCAAGCAAGATATTGTCAGTAATATTTCTATTCTTGACAAATCCTGCCTGCCAGGGGGAAATAACTCTTGCCAACACATCTGCAAGTCTTTGAACCAGAAGTTTTGTGATGACCTTACTGCAATAGTTACTCAGACTGATGGGTCTAAATTCTGCAAAGCATGCTGGATTAGAGACCTTAGGAATGAGAACTATTGCAGTATGGGTTATAGCTTTTGTTAGTGTTTTCCCAGTAAAGAAATCTTGTATCAACTTACAGAGATCAGCTTTGATTATGTCCCAGCAGCTTTGGTAAAAGCCTCCCCAAATCCATCTGGGCCTGCTGCACTTGAAGTACTCATGCTAAACGCACTACTCCTTATTTCCCCTTCTGAGGGGATAGCTATGAGTTTAGCATTTTCCTCATCTGTAACCATTTCCTGCAAACAATCATAAACTAGGGGGTTAGCTTGAATTTCCTCTTCAGAGTACAACCTCTGGAAGAAGTGAACAGCCATTTCATCTATTCTCTCCTGTTCAGACTCCCATTGCCCTCCATCCCCTCTTATTTTGTGAATGAACTGTTTCCTCCTCCTCTCTCTCACAATCCCATGAAAATATTTAGAGTTTCTCTCTCCATCCACCACCCATTGAGAGTGTGCTTTTTGTTGCCAAAACCCCTCCTCTATCCTAACTTGTTTTTGCAATTCAGCTTGTGCTTTTTTATACTCCAACATATTCCCCTCACTCACACAGCCCTGTAAAACCTCCTCACACACCCTCACCCTCTCCTCTAACAACTTGACTTTTTCAAATATGTTTCCAAACACTTCCCAGTTCCAATTTTTCAACACTCTTTTTGTCTTTTTTAACTTTGTGGCAAATCTGTACATTGAGTTTCCCACCACCTCCTCACTCCACACTTTTTTTACAATTCCCAAGAACTGTTCATGCTCACACCACACATTCAAGAATGAGAATTGCTTCCTTCCTATCCTTATGTGCGGCTCAATAGCCACCAAAAGAGGGGAGTGGTCTGAGGTGCTTTTAGACAGATGGTGCACATGTGTTTGAGCTGCTGTTTCCCACTTATCATTGACCACACATCTGTCCAGTCTCACCCAAATGGCTTGGTCCCCTGATCTCCCATTCCACCAAGTGAAGTTATTCCCATAGAAGTTTACTTCTCTCAGCTCAGCATGATCCAGGCAGACTTGGAATTCTCTGCTCTTATTTAGGTCATAGGCATTCCCCCCTCTCTTTTCTTCTGGCCTTAAGATGCAGTTGAAGTCCCCCATGACTGCCCACATATTCTCCTCATAATCCTCAGCTATTCTTCCTATATTTTCCCAAAGCTCCTGCCTCAATCTTCTATTGCAACTTGCATACACAAATGAAATGAATGCATCTGTGTTGAATTCAGCCATTTCCATTTTTATTGTTATCATCTGCTCGCTCATGTTTTCAACTTGCACCTTTGTTCCACTGTCCCAAAGGATCCAAATATTTTCATTTCCTGCACATCTATTGCCTCCCCAACCAATTTTAAAGGCAAGCTCTTTGATTTTGTCAGTTTCCCTGAATGGCTCTAAGATGCAGACCACTCTTGGTTTATGTAACCTCACCAAGTTTTTTAATCTGTGAAGGGAGCCTTGGGAACTCACTCCCCTCACATTCCAACAAATGATCTTCATAGGGCTTTCTTGTGAGAAGAGCAGCCACTCTTCCCCAGCAACCCTGGAACCTCAATCCCTCTTGCCCTGGCCTTTTTTTCTGCTTTGGTCAACCTTCTACCAGGAGAACCATTCATAGCATTTATTATGTTTTGATTCTCTTCCTTTATCTCTTCCTTCCTTATTTCCCCTTCTTCAGACTCAAGTTCCTCACTCAACTCCTCAGAGGGCACATAATCAGGATCCTTCTCCTTTTGTTTATTTCTCAGAGGTCCAGGATCAATCTCTTCCTTTCCAATATCACACTCCCCATCAATGTCCCTGAGAGTATGGAAGGTATTATGTATTTTAACTCCTTCCTCCAAACCATTGTCAGGTTTTTTCTGCAACCTTCCTCCCTTTTTGTTCACAGCCCACTCAGATTTTTCTTTTCCCTCACCATCAAGTCTTTTTTCATTATTTTCTGAGACTCTTTTCTCCCTCATATCTTCCCTTTCCCTCCTTTTCCCCCTTTCTTCTGCTTGCTTACTAGACTCAGTGAAGCTCTGATTCATAGCTCCCAGATTGTGCAGCAACAGAAGTGTTAGTCTGGTTTTGTTTGTTCTCATTGCTTAGGCCTAGAGTCTGTCCCCTCTTTCCCTTACTGTTACTTCTTTTTCTGTTTGCACTTAAACTTCTTGTAGTGCTTCTCCCTCTATTCACGGTAGAGGGTTCAGATTCTCTTCCTGATGTACCTGCATTGTTAGTTACAATCCCTAGTCTACAAATTTCTGCAGGGTGCCCTTGTTTGTAACAAGTAGTGCAGTAGTGGGGTACTCTCTCATAGACAACTTTTTGCACATACCCCACATCTTCTTTACCTGGACTTCTAGAGAATCCTATAAAGAACTCACTAACCAGGGGTTTCAGGAGATCAATTTCCAGTTTCACCCTAGCATAACTTGGCCTGGTAAAGTTTATGGTTGCATGATCTGCAGCCAAAAACATACCAACAGGCTTGCAAATCTGTTTCAGAACTGCCAAATTAAACAAGTTGGCACTTAGCATTGGCAGTCTGATCCAGACTGGGGCTAAACTTGTCTCTCTTTCAGTAGAGAAACCAAGTGCCCATCTGAACAGTCTCATGGGGAACTTCCCATTGAACAGGACTTGGTCCAACATTAAAATCTTTATGCAATCCTCCTCATGTGAGAAGGCTAAAGTGACATGTCTAGAGTCTATCCATCCTATAGTAAGAGTTCCTTTCAAGATGAATTTAGACTCAAAGTGTTTTCTGATTTCATGAAGAGGGGGCCTGCCCTTAGAACTTTTCCCAATCAAAAGATGTTTATCTATTTCATTCAAATGTTGCACTTCAGTTTCCTCAAGCCTTATGGCTGGCAGGCCCCTATGAAACTCAGCCTCATTATCACAAATTTCAGGCTGGGGAATGTAGTTGAAAATGCTATCATCTCCTTTGCTATTGCCATTGACAAAATGAGATGCATAGCTTTGCATTCCCTGCCTATTCTGACTTGTACCAGAAATGTTGGTTGGTCCAGGCTTAGAGCCTCCCAAACCAGCATTTCCAGTAGCTCTTTTGGGAGCAGAGCTGCCTGGAGCCATATTTGTGTGAACTGTCTTTGAGACATTTTCACAAACAGGTTTCAGGCAGCTATCCTTGTTTGTATTTTTCCCATCATTTAGGTCAGAATTCATACCTGTGGCATCTTTGTCTTTCATCCATGGAGGGTTTGGGAAGTCCTCATTCCGCTCCCTTGATTCCGTGGCTCTCATCCCCTGAGATTCCAGCTCTATTGGTCTTTTGATGCCAATTTCTACTTCGTTGAATGTCACTGCCTTCGCCGGAGGGTTTTGACAGAGATTTCCCTCCTTAAACTTCGAGATCGGTTTCTCTCCGATCACAACTGGGTCCGAGACTGCAATCTCTACTGCAGATTTTACTGGAATCTTCTCCGAGCCTCTTTCTGGCTCCTCCTCCGATTTTTCATTCGTTACAGCGTCTACAGCTCTCATGTCTGCGATTAACAACCCCTTGTACTTGTTTTTCAATTTTTCCAGAACTTTTCTCTCGAGATTGTAATTTCCCACAATCTTCTTTTGGAACACCTTTGTCGCCTCTTCTAAGAAGCGATCAGCCAGTAGATCTTCCATCACCTCCTGATTATCAGCAGCTTTCTCCATAATTGCATCCAATTCCTCAATGTCAAATATTACCTCATATTCCCCAATTCTCAGTGGAATTTTTCCAGATTTTGACTCATCCGAGGCCTCCGATTGAGTCATCGAGATGCTTAGCTCTCGTCCAGGGGTTGATTTCAGCTCCAGTCTCTCAGAATTCATCGAGACATCATCATCGGAGCTCAATTCTCGATTTATAACTTCCTTCTCCCCCGCGATCGGCATAGTCCCTCGACTATTCTCTGGATTTTCCCCATCGCGATTCCTCACTGGAGACGCCTCCGATTGTTTCTTCAGATTTGGAGTCTCCCTGTCAAGACGAGCAAGAGGCTCGGTTTTGATCTTCTCCGGCGACGTAACCGTCGCTGGATCACCGCCGGCCAGCGGCGCTGCCGGTGGTGCAGGTTGCAGGGATGGCAGTTGAATTATGATTGCAGATGTTGGTTGATGGACTGGAATTGAAGTTTGCACCATACCCAGTGGAGTTTCACACCATAGTAAGAGCCGAGTCCATTTCTTTTTTCATTTTTTTTCTTTTTAAAAAAAAAATTGTGAGAGGTTTTATGTTTTTCAAGTGTGGTCGATTCACCTCAAAGGATGAGTGTTCTAGATTATATATTGATGATAAAGATGCTACGTTTATAAAAAATGATAGAATTATATAAACTATAAGAAAATTAGTAACACAAATAATAATTGAAATGCAAAATACTCAATAACTATGTCATATAAATTATCCACACTTTTAAACTTAATAAAAACATTTCGTTACATTTTCGCACATAACACGTAAGAATTTGCAATTAATTTTGCTTTAAAAAATCAAATTCTTTAAATCTTGCAAATAAGTTAAGAATCAAATTACCTCTCAATACAATTAAATCAAATACCTTCTAGCTCATCTTCTGCTAAACATAGATTTAAAATGAAGATTGAACAAGAAAAAGACAAAAAAGAGAGAAAAATTTAACTGTCTAGGTCAACCGAGACAAGGCTAACCATTGCTTCATTAGTACGATCAATTTTCCTCTTACACACTACATAAATCTCTAGTTTTAATGAAAACAATTATTAATTCATCAAATACATAAATAAAAACAAAGATATTTCTAATCAAGACCAAAATATGTAACTGTCACATTTATCACATCATTTCCCAATCAATTTTCAATTAGAGACACGTGTGAGTGTCTTAGGACACTTTGGAAATTGTAAAATAAAATATAAAAGAAGAAAAGAAAAAAAAATTGGGTAATTAAAGGCAAGATGAGAGGAGAAAAATAGCCAAAAAGAGAGATTGAGATGCAGCTATCTATGCCAAGTTGCCAACTGTATTACTTATCGAACATTAATTTTATCTTTTTCATTGTTATTTATTTAATTTAAGAAAGAAATTATTATTGCCAATACGTAGACTGAAGAAGGACGTCTGAGACTTGACGCGTCGAATGACTGTGGCTGTTGTTTGGAACGCATTGCGAAAATTTCCTAATTTATTCATTTTGAGCTCCTGCTATAAAAGGCCCATCTTCCCTCATCCCTATGGTTTTATCAAGCTACGTTTTAGAGACGAGAAAAGATGAGATCAAGAGCTACAAGTTGTCTTGGGAAGACAGAAGAAAAGCTATGAAGATTTGGGAGAATCTCTTGGTCTACTCTTTTACTCTCTTTGTTGCTTATAAACTCTTTATTTTATTGCAATGTTATTCTACTTTAGCCATGTGTGGCTAAGTTATCTTAGAGATTCTTTGGTAAAGTGTTTATGAACCTATGTGCCAATTTCTCAGATTCTTTAATATATTGATATTTGAGTTTTATAACCTGTGTTGTAATTGTGTTCTGTATTGTTGATGCTAGCTAGTAGTTAATGGTTATAATTACTTGTTTCATAGCTAAACTATCTTTATGTCTTAACGGGAGTTAGGGTATAATTAAGAACACCCACAATTGCACTTAACTGTTGCACCTTGGGAGATGGCATATTTGTTAGGGAGTTAATTCTTGATTATTGCACATCGGGAGATGGTATTAGTTAGGATTTTATATTGAATGCTTGTTCTTACATTGTTGGGTGTTTATACCACGGGAGTGAATATTTACTTTTATTGTTTTAGGTTGGAGATTACGGGAGTAACTCTTTCTCTTGTTTTCATTTTCACACTTGTTTAAATCCAGATTTAATATTGTTCTTTAAATGGGCACTAGACGATTAAACACTGGAATCACAGGAATCCCACTCTCTCTATTGTTTTCACAAACCTGCTACTTTGCTCTTTAAATTAGTTTTACTATTAATTAACCATCCATGATTTTCATTAGGATTAGCTTCACAAGAATAAATTAATAACTAGTGCTTGATAAGCTCCGCTTCCCTATGGATCGATAACCGGATACTACGGGTAATTATTTGTTTGGGAAATATACTGCAATCAATCGCCTTCTCCATCGATTGGAGAAGGTTACTAGTTGGTCACCATCTAAACAAATGATCTGAATGTTTAATCCTAACAGCCCGAGGTCCAAAATCCAACAAGTTATTCTAAGATGCATTTCGAAATTAAATTAGTGCATTAATCAATAACCAAGAAGACAAGTTTTAAGAAGTGCAATAAATATTAAATCATTCATTACATTAATTAAGAAATTAAACTTAACTTTGAAAGCTAATAATAATTTGGCTTCTAGAAACAGTTTAACCATACCATACTAAATTAAAAGATAGATAAACATTGTGGGAAATTATATGCAACCTTTTTCAACTGTGATGATGGTAGGTGAAAAGCGAAAAGGCCAAGATATTTTCTTCATGACTTCATTTCCCATTTTCAAATTAAAAACAA